TTTTTTTTTTTTTTTTTTTTTTTTTTTTTTTTTGCAACATCCAAAGTGTGTACTTGGAATTTGAAGCTGCTTAACTTCCTTCGCGTCAAGAATAATTAACTTGTACAGGAATTTCATAGATGCACATATTTTATCAGTAAAACTTCGGTGTAGGAATTTGACTTTTCAAAAAATTTCACTTGTTGAAGTAAATGTTTTATAAAGGCTATCTCATAATGCAATTTCTGAGGCAAGGCTGCATAAAAGCTAATAATAGTTAATACTTCCTTACGGCCTCATTTGTTTGTGGTAAAAAGTGTCTTAATGACCACCGTATCACAAACACTTCTTGAATTTTTGAACTTTAGCGCTTAAATCTCAAAAGCAGTGGGACTTTCGGTCAATTTCTGATTGGCAAAATGATGAGGCTTTGATTTGGTCATTTTAACTATTTGTTTTAGAATAAAAAAGGTTGTGAGGCTTCAAATATATATAGATAGCTTGAGTTTACGACGCATATGTAATCATTCAGACTTTTGTAACAAACTTTCTACGGTTTACTTTCAGCAGCCTATGCACCTTTACCTCTTCTCTCACTGCAGATTTGCATTTATAAGCTCTCAAAGTGAAATTTCTTACAGATTTAGAGTACGATAGTGCATGGGCTGCAAGAAACTAGAAAATGTCATAAATGCTTCAATTTTCTTGTTTACAATTGGTTTTTGCGGGTTTAATGACTGCAGCTGTATGTTGCAGTATGTTTGCTTTCAGCTATAAAAAGCAAAACAGAACTGTGTTACCTGAAAAGTAGAGCCAGTTAGGGAAGTTGATAGCAGCATATTGCCTTACACCTTATATACGGCTAAGGAACATTTTGTAAACTTCTGTTGCCTGCAGCTGTAGCATATGTAAAAATTCTCTGCCTTTGCTGTTCGCGTCACATTCCCAGAAAACTCGCCTTAGAAAGCTGCAATTCCTCCAACTGTAGGCGACTAAGGAGAAAGTTATCCTTTTAACGTAATAAACTTTTTTAGCAGAAAACTTTAATTTATAGCTACCGCTAGATACAAACTAAATATAAATATAAATATAAATGTAAATGTAAATATAAATATAGTTATAAATATATATTTGTTTATTCAATTGTTTAAATATATGTTGCATTTAAGACTTGTTACAGCCAAAATTTTTACAGATAACTTTAAGACAGCAAGAACAATGGTTTTAAGAAATGTTGTAATACCAACAGTGTTACCTGTATAGCAGTTAGTTCTTTGAAAATTTACCATGTGCAGCTTCTTGAGCAGATGTGATATGTTCAATTCCCACCTATAATTGAGGCAGATATATAAATAGAATGCAGCAAAAGTAAAATTGAATGTGAATAGCAGTTTGTTGTTGTATATTGATAAAATTACTTTTACATCTTTTCTGTTGCGTATTTTACTGACTTCTAACTAATAAGATTTGATTGACCTCACCCGATAAACACGTAAGAATTTTGTTTTTCCTATTCAATATCTGTAACTTTAAAATCCTCAGGTTAAAAAAAAAACGTCTGTTAGAGAAAAAGACAGAACGTCCATCTACGTTTAAGCAATGATTTTGTATTTTTGAGGCGGAAATGGAAGGAAAAATAAAGCAGAGTAATTTTTTACGGAGAAAGACTGTATATACAGTTTGTATCAAAACACGCTAGTAAATTCTACCACCGAGCTTTGCCAGGGTGTTTTGTGGGGTAAATTTGCACTTCGATGGAATTCTCTATTATTTTTTTTTCTCACGCAGCATTTGTAATTAACTCAGTAGCTGTTGGTTTTTTTCATGTGAATTTCTATGCAATCGTCCTACCTTAAATTTGTGCAGTTATTCAGTTCTTATCAGGAATTTCCTGTCATCTATGATTTCTAAGTTGCTTGCTAGAAATTTCGGTCATTGTTTTTGTATTTTTTAGAGCGGTGTGCTGTTTTCCTGTTGCTGCTTCCTACGGTTACTAACACAAAATTTCTAAAATTCAGTCGGAAACCTTGAAAGCTAGTATGCAGGAAATGTTTGGGTCTTCGGTTATCACTAATAAACTTTATTTATTTGAAGAAAAGGAGGATGATTCACGGAATCACTGTGATTTCCCTTTTTGTAATATCTGTAGTGCTCTCTCAGCACCTCATAAATAGAAGCATTTGCTGCATAAAAAGACACCATTTTTTATGTAAATTTTGGAAGCCTTATATGGTTAACATAAAGCACGCCTCAACTTGTGAGGTGGCATTGTAATGCTCCTAAATATTCTTGTAAAAATGGTTAAAGCAGTGCAAAATCCAAATATGTGTGAAGAGATTCCGACATGGTTTTCAGGCTATTACGAAGAAAATCCACTGGTATGTACCAAAGTTCAAGAAATGTAAAAAAAGCGAAATATTTTTCAAAATTGTCAGTTTTAACTTGATGAGTTTGGATTTCAATGTACAAGCTGACATTAAGTGAGAAATAAAAGATTAAACTTATAAGTAACGGTAATGACCTCTGCTACAAAGATCGCCTCAATTTTCTTTCTCTGTAAATGAAGATCAATCTTCCTGTAATTTCAACAGACCTCTTAGCAGCGACAAATTAAATTAGGGTTTTGATTAAAAACTTCCAGAAAAGTGTCATTGGCAAATGCTAACTCTTATATACACACAAATTTGGCAAAAAGTTTCTCGTTTTTCTTTTTCTACTTTTAGTTCTCCTCAGAAGTAGCATAGATTCTCGTTCTTCTTTTTTATTAAACCAGAAGGATTAGGCCTTATAAATTTTTTTCCAAATACAGTGCCATAAAACTTTTTTAAAAATATTTCAATGTCCAGGAAGCTGTTTAAAGCTGGCACTTATACAATACAGTCAGTTGCTTTAGATCTGTCAGATAAAAAATTCAATTTGATTTACAAGAAATATTAGTGGTGAGGGAGTCACATCGTTCAAAGCTGACTGAAGTTCATCATAAACAATGTTGCGGTGAAAGCCTGGAGTCCGAGGAAAAACCCCGATGAAAAACAGAAGAAAGAAAGTCAAAACTTTGACTCAAAAAAAAAAAAAAAAAATGCAGTTTAAACTGCCCATGAAATAGTAGTGTTACTGTTAATACTTATTAATCGTTTACAGCTTAAACGAGATGGAGAAAGAGAAATATGAAAAACTGTTTTGCCAACTTTCGTAATCTATCAGCTAACAGAGAGCTAACAACAGTTTTTTTGTTACGTTTATGTATGAATGAGGAAATTTTTATTTAAAATGTGTCGACTGCGAAAACCACTTTCACTTTTATACACTGCACCTGCTGAAGTTTCTGTCGCATCTCATAGAAACACCAGAACTTTAGGACGAGGGATGTGAATAAAAAATCTGACTATTTATGTTGCACTTAAAAAGTGTTTTGTAAGATCAGTCTTTCATTGTCTAAGCACTACTCTTTCAGACTACTACCTAATTTCGTTCCGTTCAAAAAGTTCTTGACAGTCATCCAGGCGCTGAAATGTCCAAAACTTTTTGTTCATAATTTTGCGTGCCAGGAAAAGGCGTCTTTTTTCATTCTAATTTTCATATCCTCCTGTAGGTGGCAAAGAGTCGTCGCAAATAATCTAAGCTATTTCCAAAATGAAGCGCGCTACATTTCATAAATATATAAATAAGTAAACAAATAAATAAGTACATAAATGTAAATATACATTCAATTAAATAATTTATTAATTTATTATTTACTTATTTATATATTTATTTGTCTGCTTATTTAATTATTTACTCATTTTCACATTTATTTACTTATTTAGTTATTTTTTTTAATTAATTAATCTATTTATTTATTTATTTATTTATTTATTCATTTATTTGTTTATTTGTATTCAACTTCACATTCATACTCAAAGAGAAATTTGTATTTATATTTATTTTCATATTTATATTTGTATTTATATTTATGTTTATATATTATATATTATATGTTATATATTACATATTATTTATTATACATAATATATTAAATATATACTATGTATCATGTATTACGCATCACATATTACACAGTATATATTATGTGTTACTTATATACATTATGTTTTAGTTATTTATATATTAGCATATAAAAATGAACAAATAAATAAATATAAATATATATATTTATTTGTTTATTTATTTACTTATTTATTTATTTGTTTGTATTCATGTTCATATTTACACAAGTACATGATAGAGCCGGACAGTCGGTAGAACTGTGCGACTGTAGGTGTTACACGACGGCAATTTTAGTTGTAACGAAGGGGTCGTGGTTTATGGATTTGTTTGAAAGTATTATTGAACGACGTCGTGTACCACCACTCCGTGGTTTTCAGGGATTTTCCAAATTGATCCTTTGCTAAAAGGTTGCAATGAATAACACTTGCTGCTAACAAGCAACACTGGATATCAGGTATTTGGGTCAAATGAGTTTAACTTAATGGCAAATGAATATAAATTTAAATGAGAGTTATTATAATGTGGTTTTTCTTAAAATTTTGTTGAACCTGCTTAGGACTAGAGTGTTTAGAATAAAAAACCTGCTACCGAATAAGCCCACTGAAGCACGCTTCAATATCATAAAATTTTAGGAGAAACTGAAAAGCTGCTGTTTGCACAAACAGTGAAACCCTCCGTAAGCTTGGAAATTTTTCAGCTTGCTTCAGATATTCACATTCTGCTTTGTGACACCGTAAAAACCACATTTTTTCATTTTAGCGCTTTTCGGAATTTTTCATTCAAAAATATATTTTTTTTAAAAAGCTTGGGCGTCTGCACTTCCAAGGACAAGATGTCAAATTCT